ACACACACACACACACACACACACACACACACACACACACACACACATACACACACACACACAGGACTATTCTGCTGTAGCTACACTAATATGGACAAACAACAAACAAATACACAAACATGCAGCCAGCATGCAAGCACACAGTAACACATACAAACACACTCGTAATCAGGGATGGAAAGACAGACAGAGAGAGAGAGCGAGAGTCAGACCCCATGCTTGGTGGACTATTGGCTGACCTGACGGAATAAAATGGATAAATATAGCACAGAATGAACACATGAACACACACACACACACACACACACACACACACACACACAGTCTGGCCTACTCATGCCTGGACAGGTTGTGGAAGTGGCACTGAGGCGCAGTGAGGGTCGCTGTGAGGACAGGCAGCTGATTCAGGATCAGTAGAGGAGGTGGTGCAGGGGTCAGTGTCACTATAACGTTCCCACTATCTGAAATACGACTCTGGCTGTAGTACACTCCTGTGGCATGTTCACAAGCGAAGATGCAGAAGACTAAATTGATCGGTTTGGGTATAAAATCATCACCATGTTATCAGATTATGTACACAGACCTGTGTGTTAGACCTGAGGGGAGGGCTAATCAAGCTAAGTAAGTGTATTGTTTCAGGTTCATTCATTCTACATTTAGCCCTGCAGCAGATGCTTTCACTCTGACCTGGGGCCAGATGTATGAACCATGTGCACATACACAAACCATGCGTGAGGAGGACATTGAATATAGTTTAAGAGACGGGTAACAAGTTCACAGATTGTGTCATTATGTTTTGCAGGCTATACAGAGTTCTGTAAAATGTCAATCAAAGCCACATTATGAATATTCATGTAACAATTGTATTGACTTTACTTATGTTTGAGCTGTGATCTCCCTGTTTAATTGGATCCTGAAGCATTGTGTCATTGATCATCGCTCTGATGTCATAATAACAACGATGAGTGAGGTTTTACCGCGATGACGGTTTGCAGAAACACCTGATTGATTAGAGGTACGGAAGCTACAAAGAGCCACAGCTGTGCGTAACAATGCTCTGGCACAATGGCGGTGCCGTATTTCTCATCGACAGGTCTAATGAGCAACTATCGATATGCAAACGGATGTTTAAGGCGTTTCTATGTCCATTTATGGAGCAGAACGAATATTCTTGGATTGATGGAATTTGCTGGTTTGTTTTTAGCCGGGCGTCTCTATTAAATGTGATTGTTCAGGCAGTTAACCCTCTGAACCGCAAAACCTGTGGGCGGGATTGAAAAGCATGTTTTACAATCACCAAAACTACACCGTTTATCACAACCAGAGGCCGTAAAATTCGTCATTATCGTCCGATTTCCATCTTTCCGACGGTCCATGAACACATCACGGGAGAGCGCTTCCTTCAGAAAAAGCAACGGAAACAAAGTTTTATATTGTGATATTTTATCAAAAGCACTTTTTTCTACTTCTTGTCTCATTTAAAATCTTGGCCCACAGAAACTGTTCGCTCAAACCACATCCCGTAAAAAAAAAATGAATTCTGCACATTAGCACGTGGAGCCTCAATGTATTTTCTCTAACATTGGTAACATGTGTAGTTCAATAAATAGATTCCATTGTTTTCCACTTTTTAAAAAAGAAATTCAACAGTTTTTTTCCATTTTGAATGACATGGCATTGTAACTGTGTTCTACTGATCTCAAACTGGACTGCAGTTGTTTGACTTTCAATAGCAAGCTCTGACTCAGCGAAATCCTATCATTGTGTCGTCTGTGTACTCCATTCTGTTCTCTCACATGGCTGACTAGCCTGTGGGCTCGTCTCTGTCCTCCAGATGACCCGACTTTAGTGGGCTCTTCTGGCCCACTCCCCTCCTTCCGAAATGGGATAGATGAACCACGCTGGCTGGGTCAGGGTCTCTACAGGCCCAGGAGCAAAAACTAGAATTACTGCCTCGTGGTCGTGTGCCTCCTCCAACCGTTTGGAGTTTCAGTTCACATCCATGTCTGTGCAAAGTGTCATCACTTTCGGTAGTTGAGTGCCAAACCAAACTAAGCTCCAGTGTGGACCGAACCTCATTGAACATTACTGATAGAAGAAGTCTGTGCAGACCTCCTGCTACTGACAATATATAT